TGCTAAAAAAAAAGGAGGGGCACCAGGATTTACCAACTTTTGACTATCTCCTCAAGATTCTCTTAATTGCAGTTGTTTCTGTCAAACTTCTAAATTTTAAAAAGAGGCCATGTCGCAGTAGAAATGTGTTGTCATCATCTTATATTATACTGCTAAATTTTTAAGTGACAATCACTGAAACAGAGAATTGTTTGTTGTTGAAACAGTACTCTTCAAATGACTCCTGAGCGGCAATAGGGCTGAACTAAGACAAAACCACCAAGAGCTTGAATTTATTAGGTGATATTTTAATGATGCTTAGGATTCTTGCAGAACTGCATCGGATATCATGGATGTATTTTATATTCAGTTTCACTGTTAAATGTTGGAGATTAAGATTGCAAAATAAAAACTTTATGCTGTTATCCCTTCGCCTTTGTGGGTATTCTAACTCTCAGTGTACTCCTTGATTTTATTGTAGTCGAGGACATTACTGTAAGAAGATATAGTCTGTTTATGAAAATTTATTTAGTCTGTTATTAAAATTATGTTTATTTCAGGAATGACAAATCTGAGGAAAGGTTGGGGCTCTGAGCAGCAGCTGATAATAATCCCAGTTAATGTAAAAGCTCTATATAGTCTAAGTTTATGCAGGCAGTTAAGTGATTTGAATCAGATATCATGGAAAACATTCCCAGTTCATCAGATAATACCCAATCTTTGTTTCCTTTTTTGTACCTAGATAGTTAGCCTGACTCTGTGGTGTATCCAACCTAGTCTCTGTAAACATCCATTCTATTTAAAATCAGTCATCATGATTCTTTGATTATCTTTAGCTCCCTTTCTAAAGAATTACACATTTCTGTAGGCATTTAATGTATGCCATTCAAACTGCTTTTGGGGGGGGGTGGCGGAGGTGGAGGAAGGCAACAAAAAAACTACCAACCAACCAGACTCTTTCCCTGGCTCTTAACCTTCTTTATCACGTAGTTAACCTACATTAGCCTCCACTGAATGAGATGACTTGGGGATTATGGGGTGAAGCCATCCGAACAGAGGATGATGCCTACCCATATAAGACAATCCTTTTTCTAGCTCAACAGCTACCACTTATCTTCCCCACTAACAGAAGTTTCTCAAGGTCAACTTAAGGGCCACGGAGGAAAAAACTTAAGTCAGAAGTTGAAAGCTCAAAGCCATATTCTTCAACTGTGATCTAAGTAACTTAAAGAACATATTTCTATCAGTTCTTAGAGTATCTCTTACTTGAACCTCACTTCCATGTTCAGATTGACTATTTTTTATTGAAGAGCCTTATTATTTTGTAATCATATAAACATACCCTTAAGATCCTCAAGTGTATCAGTTAAGAATAATCTATTTTCTTCAGTGTGGGTTAAATGAAATAACTCACACCTGTGAAGCTCTCAGTAGGTGCTAAATAAAGGTTAGTGATTATGGCTCAGAGCCTTTAGCACATTGGTTATGGTGCCAGCCGGCCACATACACCGAGGCTAGTGGGTTCAAATCAGGTCCAGGTCAGCTAAACAACAATGACATCTGCAACAACAAAAAAATAGCTGGGCATTGTGGCTGGAGCCTGTAGTTCCAGCTACTTGGGAGGCTGAGGCAAGAGAATCACTGAAGCAGCCCAGGAGTTGGAGGATGCTGTGAGCTGTGATGCCACAGCCCTCTACCAAGGGTAACATAGTGAGACTCTGTCTCAAAAAAAAAAAAAAAGTTTATTGATTACTCTTTAAAAAATCTTTAGCTATAGCCCATTTACTTTCTAGTTGTTGGTATGTTTTCAGCAATACAGCTGAAAAGTATTTCTAAAAATTCTTTTTAAAAGCTGGGGAAATTGGCATGTGAAATTTAAGTCATTTTATAAAGCCAATGATATGTTAAGAAAAGAATGAACCATGGCTTGAATTTTGTCAAAAGTTAGTTCTTACCTACATAGCCACGTGGTGAATTTAAACAGGCCAAGTGGAGACTTTAGGCATTATTCCAAGAATTCAAATAACATTATATATAAATCTCTCATGGAAGAGAAGTCTTGGGATTTTAAAATCTTGAATTATTCATATTGAATGCTGACATTAATGATAAACACTAGATAATAACTTTTTTCTCTCTAGAGCTGAACTATGAGTAAGGCTAAGTCAGAACAACAGGAAAGGTGGGGTGGGAGGTATTAATCACCGGAGACTTTCCTATCTTTCCCTTCCCTCCGGGTGTCATATATAAAGGCTCAAACCAAGATACACCTCTGGATATTATAAAAGAAATGAAGGAATGCAGCCCCTGGAGTTTTCCGTCCTCTCTATGAGGAATTGAAAATATGGGCAACTCCCAGTAACTCCAAGCACACCAGTCCAGCCGCCTCCTGTGTAGTATCTTGAGAACTGTGTTTCCCTTAAAGGGTCAGCATCGCAGGAATCACCACTGTCAAGGGTGAGGAGCTGCGTGGATGGGGCAGCTGGGGTGAGAGACTTTCAAAGGTATTAAAAAACATGCCACATATTTACACAGTGACTAAAGTAGGAGTCAAGCGCTACCACTGCAGTGTTCCTGGCAATGGGCGGACGACCGCTGTACCCTTACTCGGGAAGGCACCAAGCCCCCACGCCGCGGGGACGCGCTCCAGTGGTACAGGGTTCCGCACACCGCCGGGGCAGAAGGTATTTCCTCCGATCCGTATGGCTTTCAGTCAGTGTGGCCTACCCAGACCTAACTACTCTTCTCCCAAAGGTGTTTTCTGTGTAACTGGTTCATTCTGTTCTTGGGAGGGGGTTGGTTTAATGAGATCTCTGCATTACTGCGGGCTTTTGTTTTCAGTAATCCTTGCACAAAGGGAAAAATTTGGCTTCCTTAAGGGGACGCTTTCGACTGAGTTCAAGCGTGCCCGATTCTCAGAGGGCGAGATGCCCCATCTTTCTTGTCATTACCAATTTGGCCCTGGAAACAAAAGAAATTAAACCACCTCCAAATAAAGCCACGCTTGTTTTCACACTTTGCAGTTCTCTTCTTCCCACCCCCTCTCTGCAACCGGAGGGAGAGCAGCGCGCCTTTGGGTGGGGATGGGAGGACGCGGGAGAGCAGCTTGGGGATAAGCTGGGTGGCGGGCGCGCAGCCAGCACGTGACGCCCTGGACGCCGCGCGGGCGAGGTGCCTCTCACCACTCCAGGGCCGAGTTTCCAAACCCTGGTCTGATTTGCCCAAGGACACGTCGATAGCCCCGGTTCTTTTCATGAAGGGTCTCCCCCCACCTCCATTTCCCCTCCCTGCCCCGCCTCATTCTCGGGAAGTTTCAAGAACTTCCCGGCGAGTTACAAGTGCAACTTAAGCAAGATAATTCCCAAAGAACTCAGGTTTCCTTACCCACGCTTTCCCAGCAGGATTCAACAGGTTTCAGGGAAAAAAAAAAAAAAAAAAAAAAGGACAGCGAGGACGGGAGCGAGACGGATGGGAAATTAGATTGACAACTTTAATTAAATCAATTATCTGCTCTTCTACCCTTTGGCTCAGAGCCCATCGCTCCTCCTATCCTCCCACCACCCCACCCCGGGGCCTTTCAGTGGCGGGACTCGGACCTGTAGTCGCTTTGACTTGTGAGGATTTGGGGGGAAATGTCTCAAGAACTCCTGGGTCCGGGCAGCCAGGGAGCCCGGGGGTCCGGGCCAAGGCTAAGATGGCAGGAGGCGCCCAGCGCCGGCCTCCGCGAAGCTTTCATTTTTATCTGCTTTTCGGCATTCTCTGTGCAAATACTTCCACTGCAGGGTCACATCAAAAATCTAAACTAATTACTTTAATCTGAGGATTTAAACACAAGGGAAAATCCTTACCGGGGACAAAAGTGCCTGGTTACATTTCTAGTTAAGAGAATGTGTGTTACCAAGAAAAGCATTTTAAAAACTGAACACTTTTAAGCAATACAGCAGTGTAATCTTCACCTACTGGCTAGCTCTGGCACCTCCAACTCAGAAATGCTGCCCCGGAGCTCTGAAGCCTGTTGCAGGTTCCAGCAGACTGAAGGTGGTGGTGGCGGCGGTGGGGGTGGGGGTGGGGGTGGGGTGTTAGCTCCTTCTAAAGCGCTGTTTAAGAAATTTCTTTTTTCCTATTCTTTCTAGGAGCTACCGTTTTAGGAGACATTTTTGGAAAAACACCCTGGCATACACTCTTTTCTATTCCCCTCTCCTAAAGCCCTGTAAGTATCCACCCCCCATTCAAGAGATTTCATCTCCAGAATTGCCAACGTGGTCGAGCAAACGCTGGCTCTCCTGAGGGTCTCAGTTGTTCCCGTAGTGGTTGCTAACACAAAGTAACTATTTACTGTTGATTTTAAAACCATAATATTAACACTCTGAATTTTATACTTTTTTGTTGTTTGTTTAATGAGAAAAATTCTAGGAAGAAACCACGTGGAAGTCGAGTTACCGAGACGTTGTAACAAAGCACTTTGTTAGTTACAAAAGAAGTTTGCTTTGCGGGGCTATGGAACATCAATCAAGATTTCCATATGAAAAAAGCACTTTATTCTGTGAAGTGCAGAATACCATAGGAAGCGGGCTGAGCAAATTTGCACTTTGATTTTTGTGCTGTAGGCAGCTGAGTCCCTACCCAGGCCCCTAACACCCCCGCTCCCGTCTCCCCCCCAAAAGACCGGGTTAGAGCACCTAGACTATTACTGATTACGAATAAATAAATACAATTGTATACTAAAATGAAGAACCAAATATTCATCCACTGAACTCATTCTTCATTCCAAATTGTAAAGGTCTGGCTCTTTTTTTACCTGTTGCATCATTAATAGAAACTTTTCTAACAGTCAAAATATAAATTGCATACAACCTATTTTAACTTTAAAAACTACAGAAACACTTGCAAGTTCATCATTCCATTTACAGTATCTTAAATCAAAGCTACATTTAACGCATTTTAAAACTTTAGAAAAGTTTTACTTGTAGAAAAAGAAACTAATAGGTAAAATGGGTTGAATAAAAAAAAAAAAAACTTACTCTTTCGCTTAAAAGAAGTGAAGTCACGCCAAGTGATTGAACTCCTTGGAGGATGAAGTAAAATGAAAAGGCAAGTTCAGGCGCTCAGACCTGTCTATTTAAAGTTTAAAACTCTGCTGCTGTTTGGTACTTTCCTCACGCCTTCCCCCTAATGAAAGAAAAGTGCTGATACCTCGTAAAAGCTTTTTTGTAACTTGGAGCACAGAGCTTTTAAAAGTTTCAAGCCACTGACTCAACTAGGAGGAGGGGCTAGAAGAAAGGGGAGGGCAAAAGGAAAGGCGGGGAGGAGGTGGGGAGGAGGCTGGTGAATGTGGAGGGTGGGGAGAGAAGAGGCCGAGGGGAGTAGCCAGGTCAAGATAAAGTTGCAGTTTCTATTTGGCGATAAGAAAAAATAAAATAGCATTAGAAACAGGAATGCCTTCACTTGGAGTTACGCCTTCCAGATAAAAATTACTGGTTTTTGTACTTGCTTCATAGAAATAGCAGGGACAATGAAAACTTGTATATTTTATACTATTGTAGCAGTGTTTAAAATACAAAAAATGCATTTTATAGTAAATAAAAAATGGTGAAGAGTGTAACCAGCGCCAGCTTGTTTCACACTGACCAGGGTGTGTAGTTAGAGGTGGTTATAAGTGACCTATTTGATGATATAATTTTCTTCCTTTTAATTTAAATGGGAACAATTAACAAAGGAAACCGTGGGGGTGGGAGACATGTCCATCCTCAGTCCATCTTCCAACCCCTGATGCTTTGAATTTTTATTCTTTCAACTTAGCAAGACGTTTGTAACCTGTTTTATCTGTGAAATCTTGATATCTGACCTCTACCAGATTTCTAGGAAGTTGAAAAGTGTAATATCTCAGTTCTATTCATGCTAATACCCTGAAACCTAAATCTGGAGTGAAATGTTGGGATTTTAATAATCAAATATAGGCTATAGCAGGTGTTTAGTAGGTCCCCAAACCATTGAACCCTCCTTAAGATCATCTCCCCCTCTAAAGTTTTCTTCCCAACTACTGTAGAGCTGGGCTTGTAATCTTTACATGCTCTTCACTACTTCCACGGCTATCCCTCTTCAGGACTCTGCATTAAAGTTTATAAAGGCTTGAGTCATGTGGCCTCATTCTTAGAGCAGACAGCTCCTTTGAGGGCTCCTCAGATGTTATAGCACCAGGCTCTGGTAGGACATTTCCTCATAAACAGGCGTTAGTGATGCTCTGAGGTTGGGCAGAAAAATCTCTTGGCCATTAGTCTCTGGAAACAAAATTAACTTTTTCAGCCTTAATGTTCCTAGCCTTTTTCTTACTAATACAAATACCATTTAGAACACTTTCAGGAAAATAGAATTTATCCTTTTTATCATGAGAAAATAGTTTCCTCTTTTTTATAAAAAAAGAAGCCTCTGCTTCATTTAATTTACCTGGTGATTACTTTTGTAAAATTATTTGTCAAGCACAACTATTACCGATCTTATCCCTTTTATTAAATACTTTATGATGCTAATTCACAATTAGTTGCATAAAAGTTGTGATTGTCTATTTTATAATAGGGTTTTGAAGCCCAAAACTGTGTTTATTTCTATTTTTGTTTTGTTAGTTCTATAGATGGATATTGATATCTAACTTTTTTTTTTTTGCAGTTTTTGGCCAGGGCTGGGTTTGAACCCGCTACCTCTGGCATATGGGGCTGGTGCCCTACTCTTTTGAGCCACAGGTGCCGCCCGCTGCAGCGTTTCTTTAGGCTCCACTGTGGGCCAGGCCTTTGTGTTTGGTCTATCCATGTTGCCATGTGCTTTGAGAAGTGCAAAGTGGAGTGAATATATATATATATATATATATATTTTTTTTTTCGGAATTGTAGAGAAGAATTTTTCAATATGAGATTAAACTGCAATTTTTAAATTTTATTCTTATTTCAAAATACCAATTTCTGAAAATTTAAGAGATGGGGTAATTTTTAAGTACTTTAGATGTCTTTCTCACAAAACTGATGGATTACTTCACTAAATAGCATAAATATTCAAAAAAAATTGATGGCTATAGATTAGGGCAGTGGTTCTCAACCTTCCTAATGCCTTTAATACAGTTCCTGTGGGTCGCGAACCACAGGTTGAGAACCACTGGATTAGGGACTTGTAATGGGAAAGAAATGATCTGTGAGAACATGAATTAAGGTACTAGCAGTAGGAAAGCAAAGGAAGATAGAATTATCAGAATTTGATGACAGATGAATGGGAGGTCAAGGGAGTGGAAACCGATTGTGGAGTTTTGATTGGGAAAACATTACTAACACAAAAAAGGAAGTTAAATGTGGGACTGATCTGCTGAAAGAGATACAATAGTTTCAGTTTGGAAAATTGGGTATAAAGAAATGAAATATTTAGGTAAAGATAGCTGACTGACAACTTAAACACCGGCAGTAGAGGTCGTTCAGAATCGCTGTATGATTCACCATTAATCTTATGGAATTTATGTTTGAAACCCTAAGTACAGATGAAATTACTAAGAGATGGGATAAAGGCAGCGTGTGAAAAGACAGAGCAATCTTTAGTGGATTTCCTCATGTATTTCAGACAAAGAGAAAGAATGAAAAAAGAAACAAGGTAATGACTGGGAAAGGGAAGGGTATTTGTTTAAAATAACTACAAGTGGGCTTATTTGTAAGGAAAATATAATTTGCAGTGCACACTATCATTTGAAAACAGGGCAATTATTCTTTTAAAATGAGAGTAAATGCAAACCACAAAGAAAAAGTTTTCAGAGTATGGGTCTTAGGAAACTAGAGTTTGAAGGTAGTTTCTAAAAGTCAGTGAGGTTATCAGCTGAGATGAGAGTGAGTGCAAAAGAACTGAAAAATTTTGCAGTTCCTCTGGAGCAATACAAAGGTAGTCGTAGAAGAATAAAAAGACAATTTAAGACCAAGAGGGTCTAGGCTGATTTTGTAATGAAATAAGGCAACATTATTTTTTCAATTTCCTTTCATTAACATCAGAATAATCCTTTCTCTCAGCCAAATTTCCATTTTAACTAATATTTATCAGACAGCGAGAAAAGGTGCAAAAGTTAATTTGGAACTCTGCAAGTTTAGAAATACTCTACCCAAATTGGTAAAAGTAGCTAGAAAATTCTTTCAGAGTAGTAAAGATTTCTCATCATGTTATGGACCTGTGCTGGAATCCTTTTTCATCACAAATTTCTGGGGTTAGACAATTGGCTTTGTAACTAACTCTACAGTATTCACTTAACTGAAAATTGGCTTCCTAGGTAGCGTTCTGTCATCCTCAGAAAACATTTAGGGATCAAAGCTTGATTCAACGTGGATCAAATTTCAACTAATTCTTGTAGCCCACATTTATCTCCAAGTGACTCTTCCTGTGAGGCTACACAAAAAAAGTGTTTGTGGGTTTGTTTTGTTTTGCTTTGCTTTGTTTTGTGGAATGGGAAAGAATTCCAGACAGTGGATAAATATGTCTTTGGCTCCACCTTCTGTACAAAGTAAAGACGAACATTGTAAGAAGTAACTGGTAAACCACTTACTGTTACCTGTTAGTTTGTTTAATTTCTCTTTTTTAAAAATGAAGCTTGGTTAATTTGTTATCATCTTTGTGAATGTTTACATTCATTCGTTCTGTAAGTATTTATGATGTCTCAGAGCTATACCAGAGCTCCTGTTACTCGGGGAAAACAAAAACAGTATCAGGGTCAAATTTCATTCAGCTTTAGGTGTGAGTTTTTTAAAAAGGGAATTGTGAAAAAGCAAGCAAATTACAATAGAGAAAAGAGAATTTTTGTTAGGTTTTTAAAAAAAGGAACATGTTCTTTTCTTGTATGATTCCACAGGAGGGTGCTGTTTTTAAAAATCATGTCAATAGTATGGTCACTTTAAAAATGATCAGAAGCAAAATTAGAGGTTTGGAACCTATAACTCTTGATTGGCACATATATTTGACTTTCTCTATATAAACAAAAAGGCATTTGTGCTGTCGATGGTCTACCTAAATTTTGGCTGTTCAAACTAAAAATTTAAGTCTGTTAAAGGTCACCTAACAAATAAGAAAATATTTTGACATTTTTATTTTAGGGCAGATAAAATGGACATTCGATTATTTAAAAGTCATTCAGCAATGTAGTTATCTCCTCGGCATAATCATTTGTCATCATTTTGTGTTTGGCCTTGTAACAGAGTGGAAACTTGGAAAATACAAAGAACATTTTATAAGTGGAGGTGTACTCCTGGTGCAAAATTTTTGCTAACTTTATCAGCAATGTAAAAAAATATATAGACAAAATGACAAATGCACCAACAAAGTTATTTACTTTTTTATTTAACTGATGCTAAAGAAATAAGAAAGACTTAGCATTGCTTCAAAAGTCAGCTGAGATAAAAATTCCCAAATGAAATATTTACAATGCTTGGTTAGAGCACCACTTACCAAAGTCGTTAAAATGCCTTTCTGGTGTGTGTCTAAGTCTGCTTTGGTGCACAGGAAGAGGTACCTATGGGCAGCTCTATTCAGTACACGTCCTTTATGGAAACCACCAAATTTAACAATGCTTTCATTTAGCGCAGCATGAAATAACACAGAATTTCTGAGAAGTCATGCATTGTCCTAACTATAAGCTCTGTATATATTAAAAAGTTTCGTATTTTTCTTAGAGCCCACATAGTTCTAAGAATAACAAAATTTAAAAATCCAAGTAGACCTCGAAGAGAAGCTTTTATTTTACTTATTATTGGTGACTGGAAATGAGTAATGCTTTAGTGTCAGAGAGTTACTCATATAAAAGTGAGGTCCAAAACTGTGGTAGTGGGCCTGTTATGTTTGTAAGGGTCTGGTGTCTTTTTAATCTCTTGGACATTCATCTGGCCACTTACAACAAGTTATTTTTACCTGAGGCCACTGTCAGCTTGTTCTCATTATTACTGTGAGGTATAGTTTAAGGATTTCTGAAGTTTTTTCAACTCAAAGCCGCCTTTCCTGCTGATCTCCCGCTGCCTTTTCTACCATGTGTTGGAATTCCACATTTGGATTAAGACGTTGGAATTTTTAAGAAGGCCCAAAAGTTAATCCAGGTATATTTTTGGGAAAGGTAAAAGAATAAAATGTTAACAAAATTTATCACTGTGACTTACAAAGAGGCTTTAAAAAACTGGGTATATAAATTTTAATGGAAATAACATTAATTAGAGTACTTCTTAATTCATTAGCCATCACAGATACTTAATAAGCATTTGTTAGCAAGCAGGTTCTGT